GGGAAGGGAAGGGAAGGGAAGGGAAGGGAAGGGAAGGTGCCTGGATACACTTTCACATTTCATGTTAGAAAAGAGGCTTCATTTTGTATTTACTCACATGAAGAGCATAGGAAAGATATTTCACACATTAATTTATGTAATCTATAGCTAATTCCACAGATATTTAAATAACCTCCTTTGGTAGTAGGAAGGAAGCTCTCTTGTAACATAAACTCATATTAGACACGAGTCGGTGTAGTGAAAGATCTCAAAAGGGAATGATGCAAAGCAACAGAAAGCGGATTCACAGTGAAACAAAGCAAGACGCCAACATGAAGACCTACCCCCTTGGTCTTAGTTCCTCAAAGTTAAGTTAAAACTATTTTTTAAACCTCAGTTTTTATTTTTAGTTAAAGAATAAGGGGTAATAAAAACATTTCTTGTGCATTTATTACGGGAAAGGTACTGTTCTATCATTTAATATGGTAATACTGCAAACTAGTATTATTTTTGTTGTTTTACACATGGGACTCAGTGAATTTAAGTAGCATAGCCAGCATTGAAACTCAGGTCTGACTGCAAAGCACTCAACCTCTCTCCACCATACCAACTCCAATATACATTGAAGTATACAGTCATTTAAACACCCACTCCCCCACCACAGATATACCAAAAAAATAGATCAAATTAATTTAAATCAAATTACATTTTTACAAAAATTTAGATAACACATGCCTAAATTTATCTTTTAAAATTTTTTATGGTTGGATAATTTTCTGGTAATTTTGCTGAACTAATACTCTTCTGTGATTTTTTTTCCCCCATTTAAATCGCCTGTAAGGCTGTAAGGTACTCCATAATGAACTATATTATTTATAAAGGATTCAATGACCTTGACACAGAAGGCAATGATGGTGCTTTCCAAAACTAAATATAAATAAGATACACATCACTGTTTATTTCTGATTTGACAAGATCATACATATCCAGAGGTAAATGTTTAGTTTATTTTGTTTCAGAATTTTAGTACTCTACTGGATTGTGAAATATATGAGGAGCGTACATTGTTTGTAGGGAATTATTCATACACTTATGCAATATTCAAGAAACTGTTTAAAGATACCGCCGTCCCCTCAGATAGTATCAGAGAACAAAATAAATTCAATTTTTAGTCAAATCGAAATCATATTTAATGATTTAATGAATACTCCCTCATAAATTACTTAGCTGACTTGTAAATGAGGAAAATACTGAGAAATCAAATACATAAATGCAACATTAAAAAGGAAAAACACACAAATATTTTTATAAAACTTACACTGAAGGAGCCAGTAATTCAAGACACTTAATACTTTGATCTGTAATTATAACCTTATGTTCCTGTATAGTCATAAGTCAGAAGTTCCATAAATTATTTAACTCTTATCTTGGTGAGAAATCAAGGGAGGACTTTATAATGTATCTTTCCTCATAATCTGCCCCATATTCTTACTCAAATAAGGATGATGTGAATAGTAATGACCAACATTGAATAACTCTCTTCACAGATGTCAGTTGAGACTTAGAAAAAATTACCGGAATTTATATGTATTTATAGCTCACATATTACCTCATGTATAAATATACCCATATACTGAGTATTTTTTTGACTCCTAAAATCCTCCTTTCACTCATTCATATTCTTTAGACATCACAATTCTTCAACACAAATAGTTCTATAGCCTGTTTGTTCAGTATGGTTGGAAATATACCCAGAAACATACCCATATACTCTTATAGGGAGGAAGTTTCAGACTTCTCTGAACAAACCTGAATCTCGGTTGCTGTTTTTGTTCATGAGGCACACATTAAAATTTGGTAATTTAATTAAGTTTGATTTGGGGTCAACATGGTAGCATGTAGTGTATCGTAGAGGTAACTTAAATCTACAACAGAGGGAGACACAAACCTTTAAGGGAGCCAAAGTGACCCTCTGAAAGTGAGGTGGGGTATAGGTTAGAACCTGGATCAAAGATCTTAGATCACTTTTTTTTTTTGATGTTTATTCATTTTTGAAAGACAGAGAGCATGAATGGGGGAGGAGCAGAGAGAGAGGGAGACAGAGAATCCAAAGCAGGCAGCACAGAGCCCAACGCGGGGCTCAAACTCACAAACTGTGAGATTATAACCTGAGCCGAAGTCGGATGCTTAAACAACTGAGCCACCCAGGAGCCCCTTAGATAATGTCAAAATTTCCTGCAAGCTTGAAACCTGGTAATGGGATTGCATTTCTTGGTGATTTACTTGGCTCCTACTTAGTGCTGAGGCAAAGCTGTTCCACAAAGGTCAAAGGACAGAGTACAAGCCACATTCCAGATTTCCTAAGACAGACAGGACAGCTGAACTCAAACCCGCTCTTCATTCCTTACATTTCATCCAATTTTTACAATGTCCTCAGCTCCTGTTATTGGGGAATGGTATTGTGCACAGAGTACCAAGCTTAGTTTAGGAGACCAGACTGGGTGCCTGGCTTAACTGCCTGTCATTTGTGTTCTCAGGAATGCCACTTTGCTGAGTGTCAGCTCCCTGGCTTGTAAAATGGGGGTGGTTGTGCATCTTTATGGGTCATTGAGAGAATCTAAAAAGATAATGAAGACGGTGCTTTAAAAACACCAAAGTGTCATTGGTGGCACGTGAAACAGGACCAACCTTTAAACACTTTTAATAGTTATATATTCATATGTTTATATTAGAAAAATACAAAGAACATTATACCTGTGATTTCACACATATTATATCTTAGACTAAGACTGAAGGAGTTATTTAAAAAGTGGCTTGAATGGTGCCTAGTTCATAATAGGGGTCCAAAAAGCATTTGTTGAATAAATAAATAAAGGAGTAAGTGAATTTGAATAAAGTTTCTAGCTAAGTGGTCTTACAGGTAGCATGCAACTTTGGCTGAAGCCTGGGAAATACAGCTCTGAAGCAACAAGCAAATATGAGGCATTTATCAGGTTCATTATTGTCAAACATTTATTAAACAGTAAATATTAAAAAATATCTTCAACCTGAAAAAGTCCTGCTAACCTAAGGGCGATATTTCAGTATTTTTTTTTAAAGAATGGGAATTAATGATAAAGAAATACTTTGGAGTAAAGAGTTGACTCACCTGTGACAGAAGGATGAATCTAATTTTCCATCAATCATACTCGTGGAAAAATCCCTAAAGCGAATCCCATTGTTCTTCCAAATGAACTAACCAAATACACATGAACAATTTTTGCCAGTAGCATTATCTGAGGGTGTGTGTGTGTGTGTGTGTGTGTGTGTGTGTGTGTGTGTGCGTGTGTGTTTCCTTTCTTCTTCACTTTGGAAACAGTGTTTTTAAGTAGTGGAAAAGTATACTACAGGACTAGAATAAATCTATTCTAAATGTACAACAAATTTCACGTTGATCTGCCACACATAAATGGAATTAAATGGTTTGCGTAAGCTCATATTTCTAAA